GCTTTCATTTAGTTCCAAATATTTTTAAATTTTTTTTGGGACTTCTTCTTTGATCCATACATTATTTAGAAACATGTTGTGTAATCTCCACAAATTTGAGAATTTCCCAGTTATTTTTCAGGTTTAACTCCTAACTTTCTCTATTCCTCTTTATGTAGGGCAGGACAGCTAGAGAGGTTGGATTTTCTCTTTTTCCTCAGGGAAAGCTAAAGATGACAAGGGGTTGGAATTCCCTTTCCCTAGGTCTTTAAACCCTTAGGACTCTCCAATCTTGGAAGAAATGATTTGGCCTATGTCCTCCCCTCTCTTTTAGCAAGAAGAGTTGTTGACTTTTTACTGTTCAGCTTTTTATTGGTTGTTAGGTTAGAGTAGCACTTCTAAGCTCCATAAAGGTAGAACTGAAAATTAGAAAGTCTAGTTTAATGAGGTATCAGTTATACACAGTAAAATTCACCCTTTTAGGCATACTGTTCTACACAAATCCCTGCCATCATGTAACCACCCCCACTATGACCAAGATATGCAACATTTTCAACATCCCCCAAATATCTTCCTAATACTCTCCTCACTATCATTTCCTGGCCACTAGTATGTCTAGTTTTGCCTTTTTCAGAATGTCCTATGAGAGATTCAACAAGAATACTAGACATGGTGGTACATGCCTCTAATCCTAGCACTCTGGGAGGCTGAGGCAGGAGGGTCATAAGTTCAAGCTCAACCTGGACAAGAAAGGAAAGACAGGCAGACAGGGCTGGAGATGTAGCTTAGTGCGACTACCGTGGGTTCAATCCGCAGTACTACCAAACAAAAAATACAAAAAAGTGTGAAGTTGTTCCAATTCAGCTTTTTTCTCTTAGGACTAGTTTGAAATTCCTTCATGCTACTGGATGTATCAGTAGAGGAGTTTCTTTTTATTGCTGAGCAGTATTCCATCATACAGATACAATCACTCATTGATTCATTCACCAACTGATGGGCAGTAACCCTGTTTCCAGTTTGGAGAATAAAGCTCTGTGTGTTTATGTCTAGGTTTTTGTATGGCCATGTCTTTATTTCTTTTTTGCATAAAAATCTAGAAGTGTGTTTGCTGCTTAATTTTATAAGAAATTAAGCATGTCCCATAGTGGATTACTATTATTTGGCATCCATACCAGCAATACACAAGTTTCAATGACTGCTTATACTTGTGTTTCCTGCTGCGAGGTTTTAAGCCCCTTTTCCTTTAAGCCGGTCTAATTGGATGCGTAATACCATCCACTGTGCATTTCATTTGCATTTCCCTAATAACTAATGGTTTTCATCTAGATTTTTCATATGTCTATGATTCATTTCATATTAATTTTTAGATATACTTTGAGATATGCAATCAAGTGGTTTTGTTTTTTATATTTGTGTCATTGTTCTAGCACCATTTGTTGACAGTAACTGTCCTTCCTCCATCAAACTGCTTTGGATCCCCTCTCCTGAAAATCAGTAGTCCATATATACATGGTCTAATTCTAGACCCTTTCTCTATTGATTTATGTCTCTCTTCTTTGCCAATACCACAATGTACTGACTACTGTGGTCAGAGTAAGTCTTTGAATCAGATTAGGTAAAGTTCTGCAACTCTGTTATGTTTTTACAAAATTATTTTAGCCATGACTTAATTTCTATAAAAAGTCTTGTGGAACTGTGGGGCTGTGTGGACTTTATAATTTGGAGTGAAATGACATCTCATTATTGTATCATGTAATCCATGAATAGATGTATTTTCCACCTATTTAGGTTTTCTTATCTCTTAGTTTTCAGAATATCAATCTTATATGTGTTTTATTAGACATCCTTAAGTATTTAATATTTTCTGTAAAGGGTTAGCAATGTTAACATTATATTGCCTTATTATATAGTTACATTTTAAAATACAGTAATTATTAGTAATAAAGTAAAAATAATTACTTAGTCCACATTTAAGTAAAATTAGAAGATTGGAGTCACTTAGAAACTAATTTTAATCCAAAAAGAATAGTTTCTCACATAATACAGCCCCCCTCATAATCTACTCTCCTCTGTAGAGACCTGGTTAATATTGTGATGTTGGTAGGAAAGGTCACCTTTCCATGATAACTGATAGAAATATCTATAAAGTGTCATTTTCTTTAAAAAAAAAAAATCTAGGTAAAGCTGTTAGCATGACAATAAAGGGTAACCTACTTTATTTCTGTTTTAATTATAAAAACTGGAAGCAGTAATTAATTATATGTCATCCTAGTTATTTTTTTTCTTCCCAAATTAATTTTCAATAAATCTTCAGGAATAACTATATTTATTTAACTAGCCCTCATTTTAGCTTTTTAATTAGTTTTCTGAAGGCAATAAAATTATTGTACATTTGATGAACACATGTGAGGAAAGAGGTTCAGAGAGATTCCCAAGGTGAGCAAACATATGCTAAATAAAAGCTGACTTAAGTCTAACTACAAAGATGCACTCCTCCGCCTTGTGAGCTGCTTCAGGACAAAGCGCGCATCTACGGATTCCTGAAGAGAAATCCCACATCCAAAATCTACACGATCCCCAGGTCTCCTCATCACGGCCGTCAGGTTTGAAATGTCAACACATCAAACTGGCACTGTAGCATGGAACAGCACCTGCAACATTCCAAATTCTAAGGAAAAGATTCTTTTTTCTCCTGCAGTAATTACGGTACAAGAAATCTTGACAGTAAAGTAAAAAGCAAAGTCTTACTCTTTTAAAATAGCCTTAGGCAAGCCAGGCATGGTGGCACACGCCTGTAATCCCAGAACTTGGGAGTCTCAGGCAGGAGGTTAGCTGTGAGTTTGAGACCAGCTGGGCTACATAGTGAGTTCCAGGTCAATCTCAACTACATAGTGAGACCCTGTCTCAAAAGGCCAAAAAAAAAAAAA